TCCCCCGTTTTTCGCCCTCCAAACTTACGGTTGGACACACTATTTTACCTCGTTGGATGTATCTTACGCATATACTTGCATTGAAACATGTAAACATGTAGAATATGCACACAATGTCTAAGTAGTACATGAAATACATTCCATGATGTATATACAGTAATTATATGATATGAATGTGGCCACAATGGGAGATCCCCAAATTGTAGAATCATTTCCTTTTTGGGAAACCGAGGGTGAAAAAGAGTATCCCAGTTATAAGAATTACTCTACTTCGTGTGATCCCCACCATGACATGTCAGGACGTATATTTGGACATATATTTAGTATATTCTGACATCCTATCTGACATATATTCTGGCATATATTCTGGCATTCTATCTGGCATATATCCTGACATTCCACCTGGCATTCTATCTGGCAGTCTATCTGGCATTCTATCTGACATATTTTCTGACATTTCATCTGACATATATTCTGGCATTCTACCTGTCATTTATTCTGACATATATTCTGGCATTCTATCTGACATATATTCTGGCATATATTCGGGCATTCTATCTGGCATTATATCTGACATATATTTTGGCATTCTATCTGACATATATTCTGGCATATATGTTGGCATTCTATCTGGCATTATATCTGACATATATTCTGGCATTCTATCTGACATATATTCTGGCATTCTATCTGGCATTATATCTGCCATATATTTTGGCATTCTATCTGACATACATTCTGGCATATATGTTGGCATTCTATCTGGCATTATATCTGACATTCTATCTGACATTCTATCTGGCAGTCTATCTGGCATTCTTTCTGGCATTCTTTCTGGCATTCTTTCTGGCATTCTATCAGGCATTCTATCTGGCATTCTGGCTGGCATTCTTTCTGGCATTCTATCTGGCATTCTATCTGGCATCCTATCTGACATTCTATCTGGCATTCTATCTGGCAGTCTATCTGACATTCCTACATGAGGTCCGGCAGGGAACACTGGGCGCGGATGGTCGCGGTTGAGGTCCGGCAGGGAACACTGGGCGCGGATGGTCGTGGTTGAGGTCCGGCAGGGAACACTGGGCGCGGATGGTCGCGGTTGAGGTCCGGCAGGGAACACTGGGCGCGGATGGTCGTGGTTGAGGTCCGGCAGGGAACACTGGGCGCGGATGGTCGTGGTTGAGGTCCGGCAGGGAACACTGGGCGTGGATGGTCGTGGTTGAGGTCCGGCAGCGAACACTGTGGATCGCGGGTCGCAGTTGAGCAAGGACGACGAGGACGACGAGGAGGACGAGGAGGAGGAGGAGAGGAGGAGGAGGAGCAGGAGGAGGAGCAGGAGGAGGAGCAGGAGGAGGAGCAGGAGGAGGAGGCAACTGACATAAAATCTAACAACCCTCACCTGGCAGGTGGGGAAAAACACATTTGCATACAAACCAATATCAAGATGGTTTGGTCCCAAACTATTGTATATCATGGTGCATCCCAAAATGGCGATTTCACGACGAAAATCGATTTTCGACAAAACAATCAGGTCGCGAAATTCGGAGGTCCAATGTTTTCAAAGAAATCCGTATCAGGTCGCGAAATCTACACAATACTCCCATCCCCCATTCAAAAACAAAACACCCCCCAGAAACCATGGTAAAATGTGGGTGAAACCAGAGAAACTATGACTAGGACCATCCAATGTGGGTGTTTTTTCACATGAATAGGGGGGAAGGGATCATCCCATCCTATATCCCATTCCAATTTTCAACCCAAGATGGTGATTATAATCATAATTCATCATATATACCCCATGATCATCATCTAATATTCCATGATTAACTCATGATTTATATCCCATCATGAGTTAATAATGAAATATTTTGAATATTATATGCATAATTGCATAATGATATCCCAAGAAAGAACATGCCTCCGTGGCCATTTGGAGAAGTTCAAGAGCTTCCGAGCTGAAGCGCAGTTGCTCCTGCGGAGATCCGCGGAGATCTGTGGTGGTTTCTATGGTCGGGTAGCCCTTGATAGAAATGGATGGTTTCAGGGAAAATCCCAATCTAATAGCTGGATTTTCTGACTAGGGCTACCCCACGACCAAACGGAAACCTCCATAGTTGGACTATACAAATGATCGCCGCTGGTTTAACCTGGGAAGTTTCGCCTCTAACATTCCGCCCCAAGAACAAGGCTCAGATGGGCGAAATGGGACCAACTTCATCGATTGCATGGTAGACTGGTAGATGTATATTCCACCATTTTTTCAAGTGGCTTCATAAAAAGGACAAACATCTCGGTGTTCAACAGCTAAAGAGATGTGTATACATCATATATCATATAGACCAAACATAAACAACCTGGCTAATGGAAGGATGCCACCACATAGTGCTACTCCCAAAGAAGGAACATATACCACAGCTACTTTGACATCTGATAGCCTCTGGAAAGTGCCGTTTTTCGAAATATCCACTCCAATGGATTGCCAAAGCTCTCCGGCGCCCCCTTCAGCACCCGGAAAAGCCCGTCCGGCGCGAAACTTGACCTGTCACAGTTGGACGCAGATTTTCTTCGAAAGCTGATGGATGATATGTATAATAATATATTGATGATCTTGATGATATATAGATGATTTTCCTATGATTCAATGAAACTCAATGATAATTTTGCAAACCTTGAGCTTCAGACTGGATTTCCTTGACCAAGCGACCAAAGGCTACCTTCGGAATAGAGAGGAAATTGTGATCCTCAGGAGGGCATTCCAGCGCTCGAATAGCGCCACTGGTGGCCACAACAACCCATCACAAGAACCACCCAACAACATCCAACAAGCAGGTAGGTTGAAGGGGTTTTTCATAACCTCCTATAATTAGTAAGCATATAGTCCATGCTGTCATGCTGTCCTGCTGCAATTTGAAGATCTCTCGTTCCATTCCACGTCGCCTCGGCAGTGGAGATAGCTTAGAAAATGATTTGGAACTCTCCAAATTGGATGGATTTGAAATATGGATAAATATGGTTTCTATATGTTTCAATGGTTAATACGTCACGGGAGGATCTTAGACTTACATCAACTTACATCCGATCAAACAAGTTTGGGGCGAAAGCTGGCTGAGATATGTTGAGATGCTGAGGGCATCACCCCATCTGCGCGACATTGCGTTCTGGCTCGCGGTCCCTCTTCACACCACGCCTCCTCAGTGCTCATGGCGGGAACTGGTGGCGACTAAGCATAGGGTGCTCCACCAAAATCAAGCTGGAAATGGAGCCGGTCTACTGTAGAGCCTTTCTTTTCCAGAAAAACTTCAGTTTCTCCGTGTCTCTTTGTTAAATCACTGTTTGTGGCTTCATGTACACTATTGTACACTCATTGACTCGTTGTTGTTCTGTTCCATCCATATTGGAACCGGCATGATCTTCACCGTCCAAGCCCGGAACGCACCCGACGATGATGCTGGTTCAGCTTCAGGGGCTGTCGAACCTCAGAAAGTGGACCTTGAAACATCTTGAGAACTCTGGTTATAACTAACATAGCCATGGAAAATCACCATGCCATTAATAGGTAAACCCATCTATTTCTATGGGCCATCTATACCATGGCAAGCTGTTAGTCATGACCAGAGGGTAGATCTCTGGTATCCCGTGGCCGGGATTCAGCGACTTCTCAAGCGATCTCTGACGACCTTTGACTTGTGAAATCACCATGTGCAAAGTGGTTGAAAAATGACTCATGCGACACTTCTCAGTTGGATGGAAAGGGTCAACACGTATTGAAAGATCATCTTTTGGAAGATCATCTCCATTGGGATGAGGATAACCCAGCAACTGGAGATTTTTAACTATGAAGGATACCACATACCAGAACTATGTGGCCTGATCATGATATATATATATATTAAATATTATATTATATTATATTATGTATGTGTGTATAATATATATATAATATAATATATATATATATCTATATAGATGTGGGACAAATTAGTGAGCCATATTTCTCCCATTTTGATCTCACCCATACCATGTCAGCTGATGTCAACTGCACCCCGCCAGGACCTCTCCCTCGAGCCATCGTCAGGGTGCCTGATTGGTGGCAGCATGTGGCAGCTATAGAGGTTGGATGTTGGGAGATGGTGACTGTTCATCTTTGGCAAATCAAACGACCAACTTTCTGGGTCAATTGTAAGATATTATAATATTTGGAGATGGGACAAAACCCTGGCACCTCGTGAACCCCAAAATAGCTGGGATTTATGGATGTTCATCCCATTAGAATTGATAATAATAGGTTTTGACCCACCCCCATTTCACTAACCTGAATTGCTGGGCCATTTGGGGATGATTTCCCTGAAAAAACCCATGATTCCAGGGGGAGAACAGGCTTCGGTCGTTACAGTTTACCCAGAAATGCTGTTGAAATGCTGTCGAAACCACCTGAGGTAATGACCAGCGCGTGGCCTTTTTGGGTGCTACAACAAACCTACTGGCTGCGGAGTTCTGACGCTCCAAAAGCTCCTGAAAAAACGATCCATTTGGTATGGAAACTGTAGCGTTTGTAGCCTTTCTTGAGATCATTCATGATCATTCGCTTTCAAAGGATGGCCTTGGATTTGATCAGCAGAACTTGAACCCTCAAACCACAGGATGAATGATGAGCCCTCCCAGTAGATCACAGCAAAACAGCCGGCAGAAACTTCATTGGGATCCGAACAAAAACCCAGAAATCACCGAGGATGGAATAAGACCATTAAGGTCATTTGGAGAGTTGAGGGGCCAGGTGAACTAAGTGCGCTCTCTGATTTTTTTCTCGAGAGCAACACGGCTCCAAGTCAGCCAGGCAATTTGGTGCTGCATTTGAGACTTGGATGGTGAGAGGTCGTGCCCAACATACAGATGCAGCAACTTCAGAATGCAACAAGGATTGATATGGGTTTGTCTGAAAATAGGGTATATTCCCAATTATAGCCATTTAATAGGGATAATGATCAGCAAAACCATTGGGTTTAGGGGTACACTATTTTCAGACACGCCCATATGGAGATGCGCAAACATTGTGGGAACGGGAAAAACTCTGTCAATGTGGCCCAAAAAAAGGAGCCATGTTGCCATCTTCTGCTGCGTCTTCTACAGGGAAAGCTGGTTCGCTTTGCTTCTATCTGCACATTGCCGGGATCACGAATTGCGATGTGATGACGCATGAACCTGCCGCTTCAGTTGTTGTTCCAGTTTGCAAGAGATCCAAGCCTTGCCACTGTGGTTTCTTATGCCTCATCCTCTGCCTCTGCCTGATGTGTGATGACTTGATACAACCGGTGATGTTAATTGACCTCAAAATGACGCAATGTCATCATCACCGTCAGCACCTGGGCTTCCTTCCAGTCGGAGCTTTGCCAGTGCAGCGAAGCATTGGGCAAGTCCTATGTGCCGCTGTGGTGTTCATTGTGCTGTGTGCCACTATATAGTGCTCCATGGTCCTGAAAGTCAGCGCCGGCATAGGAGTTCTGCGATTTGGACACAGTTCTGCCAGCGCTTTTCTGCCGTGGATTGCTGCTTCCACGTGGACGGACCTGGCAAGCTATCGCTGTCTCATGCTGAACGTTGAAACGGTAAAGTACTCAAGGGTCAAAATCAGCTTCCATCTTCGGAGCAACATCCGACCAGGCCTGGCTCCGAGGAGGAAACTGCAACTCTCCATCATCTACTACAGATGGCCTTGGCTGCAAGTCATCAACAAAAACACCAACATTAACCATGGTTTCCAGGTAATTTCGGCTTGTATTTTTGGACACGGCCACACGCACTGTTTCTAAAAAAAACACTCTATCCCATAGGATCCATGGTGCTGGTATATATACTAACATTGGGGGTATATTGATGGTAAATGTTACCATATATAGCATACATGGATCCTATGGATATCATCTTCAGCGTCAAAACGCACAATTGGAGATTCTGTGCACGCAGCTTCAGAGTCAGCGCATCTAGAAAGCTTCCGCCACTGCCTGAGGATTCCGAGATGTGAGCGACTATCCGGGAGGATTACGCCCTTCCACAATTTTGTTGCTCAAAGTTGAGGCTCGACTGTCCCACAGAATGTCTTAACTTGAATAATATCAAACCATCCAATTTCGTTGAGAAATTTGTTGGAGTTAAAAATTGGTGGTGGGTTGCGGGTATTGAGGGACAAGCTATGTTCAGAATCTGGATTGCAAACAAAATATTCCCTCAAAATTCATGCATGTCCTTGAGGTGGGTATGGATCAATACCTATTAATACCATTTTTAGGGGGATGAACATCCATAAATCCCAGCTATTTTCATGTGAACTACAGGGGTACTATTGGTTTTGACACGCTGCCAGGTATCTATTTTTCAGTGTGGAATGTGTGCCGTGCTGCTTCCGCTCCGCAACGAGATTCAGCTTAAGATCTGCGACCCTGAGGGTCAGGCTGTCTTTCGCTCCTGCCACCATCATTTCCGACAATCTACTGGAAAACCACCCCAAGGTTTTCAGGTGGTGCAAGAATTTTGAAACAAAATTCTAAACAAATCAAATCAAGATATTTCAGGGTAAGTATGGGTAAGTGTTCCTGCCTTGAAGCAAGGCGACTTTCTTTGGTTCATGGAATCAAGTTCCAACACACCGGGCATTCGCTTCCAGATATGTTCAACATTTCCAACTTCCAAATCGCTAGGACCCAATAGGATGATTTTTGACATGTCCCAGGCCTTGCGGCCAAACCGGAGCGCTTGAAGGGTCGGAGTGGCGGGCACAGCTGCTCCCCTGAGGACTTGGAGATATTCCCAAGTCTCTGAGTTGTCTCCATCTAGCTATTTTTCAGAAATCCTTCCAGAAATCCAAGGTTTTTTTTCACTTGGTGGGGGGTACAAGATGATCAAGATCATCAAGATGGATTAGTCAAGAAAATTAGGTGACTACAACATACTACAGCCAAAAAAATACCATAAAAATCTGCGATTTCAATGGATCTTCATCCCTGGCATCCCTGGCATCTCGGGAGCTCACTGAGCAGAAACTCTGGAAGAACTGCAACATCGCCTGCACGGGGCAACACCAGTGCCCCACCAAAACACCAACCCTCTGGTAAACATACAAAAAACTATTGAAAATGGCCCAGTCGAAATAGTGGATTTACCCATTTTTTTCGCATGGTGATTTTCCAGTTCGTTTGTTGTATGTTTACCAGAGGGAAACGTCTCTTCCCGGCTTCCAATTTTCTGAAACTCATGATCTATGCGTGGCCTTTCAAGGGACAGGTACCATTTCATGGCGTCAGCAGGACGATGTTCGGTTTTTTTCGGTATGTGCAATACCAACAAAGGAATTATTACCAACAGGTTGTACTTGTATTTTAATTCATCAAAGAGTAGCCAAATGTACTTCCAAAAAGATATCAATCTTCAATCCGCATTCCAATCTTCAATCTTCATGGCCACGATACCTTTTGATTGTTTTGCTGGATCGTGATTTTTTGCTACGTTGTGTGGAGCTAAGAGGCGCGACAGCTGGGCTTCGGGACATCAGATGACATAACTGGTTGGTGGTTGAGCCATGTTGAGCCACCCCTCTGAAAAATGATGGAGTGAAAGTCAGTTGGGATGATGACATTCCCAACTGAATGGAAAATTAAAACATGTTCCAAACCACCAATCAGATAATTATTATCAACATGATTTTGCAATTTGATGCTTGGTCGTTTTAAGTGCAATCCTCAAAAAAATGGTGTTGGTTCGAAGAATGCTGGCATACGCACGCCACTTTTCTTGCGGATTCCAGCAGTTTTTCCTGTCTTCTCATATCTCCTGTCATTGCCGCCGTCCAGATGTCACCCTCATGTCGTTTCACACCAACACCTCTGCCTTATCTGTCCTATCACCCAGTGGACCCAGTGTTTTCATATGCCGCTATGCCGCTTTGGTATTTTTCTTTTGCTCGATTTGTTCGAATCACTGGCAAATCACCTAGATTAGATTATTGGTATATGTTGAATATGGGCTAATGGATGGCTAATGGAAATTCGGTCCTCGCGATCTTCTCGCACCCACATTTGCCTTGAAAATCCGGCGGGGGATGGCGGGGGGTTGAGGCATTTGAAGTCCTTTTGGATTTCACTAAATCCCATGTACAATATTTTTTGGGCATGTTTCATTGCATCTCTCAACGACTGTTTTCAAACAAAAAAACCATCATCAATCCTCATCTGTCATCCCTTCAGATCTTCCAGCCTTTTTTCAAGGAAACCACCAACCCAGTACCCTCTGGTAATTTAACATAGCTCTTGAAAATGGTCATTTATAGTGAGTTTTCCCATTAAAAATGGTGATTTCCAATAGTTACGTTCGTTTACCAGAGGGTAATCCTCATCCTATCCCCAACCGCCAGCAGCTCAGCAGCTCCGGAAACCCGCGGGAGGAAAGCACCGCGCCTTCCGCGCAGCTCGGTGTCGGTCATGGAGCGGATGGCTCGCCGGGCCTCGGCGGCGGTGCGGTACTCCACGATGGCGCAGCCTTTGGAGCCTGGAAAATGGCTGGGGACGCTGGTGACACATGGGGAAACCACCGAAATCTCTGGGTATTTTTAAAATGTTATAAATATCAACTTATGAATACATATGCTATTTTCCATGGGAAATGATGTCTGTTTTTTTCGATGATTCAGGGGTAAAGCCCTATTTTGAGACAGAACCTAATGAAGAAGAATGAAAAACACTTAAAGCATGGCCTAAGGTGGTTCCAGGCTCTTTCAGAATCTCGCAGAACCTCAGGAGAGAAAGGTAACATGACGAATCAGGCTTTGAGGTTTCGATTTTGGGGTTTCTCGATTTGTCATTTCCTTCTGCAAGTTCTTTTGCCCCCAAATTCTGGATGCTGTTTGCTGCTGTTTCCACCCTGTTGACACTCTGTCCTTTACAGGATCAATACACAAGAAACACCGAACCAGTAACCGAACGAGTACAGTCCATCATTTCTCATGCAAACACTGTCACGGCAATATGCTAGGTAGCCAGCAGAACATCCCCAGCATGGCGCATGTGATCTTTCAGTTCTTGCCATGTCACACCTTGCGATCGACGGAGGTAAACCATGGTATTTTTCTGAAGGTTGAGCGTCTCTGGGCCCAGAAAAGGAACATCTGAGCTTCCATGTAAGTGCTGATGTAAAGAAACTCATCCAACCAGCAGTCGGACTCAGATGACTCAGACATACTCAGACCGTTGCTGTAAGCCAGATTGCCCACAAAGACCCGGCGGTTACCACCACCATCTCTGTTGCGACCTCCTGACACATCACTAGAGATCCAACAAAATCCTGGAGGATTTGACATCTCCCAGTCCTCCAACTGGCTGCCACCGTTGCCGTCCACCGCTGTAGGATCTGAAGGTTGGAGCGATGGAAACAAGTGGCATTGGTTTGTGGTCTGCGGATTGAGAACATGTTTTAAGTGCCGGGCATCTGGGGGGCTCGCGACTGTTGTCATTTTCTGCATTTTACCATGGGGTGGGGTGGGATAAAAATGCAATTTCCACTTCCACGCATACGTCATGCTACGCTGCTGTAGATTCTCTTGCGCTTCCGCACATACGTCATGCTAGGCTGCTGTAGGTTCTCTTGCACTTCCACACATATGTCATGCTACGCTGCAGTAGATTCTCTTGCACTTCCACACATACGTCATGCTACGCTTCTGTAGATGCTCTTGCGCTTCCACACATACGTCATGCTACGCTGTAGATTCTCTTGCACTTCCACACATACGTCATGCTACGCTGCTGTAGATTCTCTTGCGCTTCCACACATACGTCATGCTACGCTGCGGTAGCTTCTCTTGCACTTCCAGACATGCGTCTTGCTACGCTGCTGTAGATTCTCTTGCACTTCCACACATACGTCATGCTACGCTGCTGTAGATTCTCTTGCGCTTCCACACATACGTCATGCTACGCTGTAGCTTCTCTTGCACTTCCACACATACGTCATGCTACGCTGCTGTAGATTCTCTTGCGCTTGCACACATACGTCATGCTACGCTGCAGTAGATTCTCTTGCACTTCCACACATACGTCATGCTACGCTGTAGATTCTCTTGCACTTCCACACATACGTCATGCTACGCTGCTGTAGATTCTCTTGCACTTCCACACATGCGTCATGCTACGCTGCTGTAGATTCTCTTGCACTTCCACACATGCGTCATGCTACGCTGCGGTAGATTCTCTTGCACTTCCACACGTGATGATGATGATGGTGATGATGATGATGATGATGTTGATATTGCTGACGATACTAAAGTTTCGTTTTTGAGCCTTTTCAATTCCCCCCTAGAAAATGTTTGACAAGTGACGACAGTCGCGAGCCTCTCAGATGCCCGACACCATGTTTTAACACACGTACAATTTTTTGCATTGGAATAACCAAACCAAAATTGGTTTTCCTACTTCAACCATCAGTCAAAACACCTTTCTGAATGGGGATGTGCCCGCTTTGAAACGTTCCCAGTTTGTGTGGCAACTCCAAAAAAAACAACTTGGGGATGAGCCGACTTCGCGCTCGTCCAAATCGCTCGCGTCGCTCGGGTCTTCCAAATCTGGCCTCAGCGGGGTCGCCTTTCATGAATCGATGAACAGTTTTTGTAACTGTGGTGCCACATCTGGGTCGGTGCCAAGCTTTAACTATCGA